GTCACATCCTCTCTTTCAGGATTTGTTAATACTATATTATTTATAACCAATAGAAAGCCAAGGTTTTCATCTATCAAATGACGTATTGTATAACATTGTTTTCTGAATGGAGAACTGTCATTTCCACAGGAAACATATCTACTAACTCGGATGAATTAGTAACAGCTCTTGTGAATAGTTAGAAAGCCAGAAAAACTGTGATAGTTATGGGACATTGTCTGCTTTTTGCATGTTATTATTCTATGTTCTTTGGTGCAATATTTAATTAAATAAAACTTATTCAGTACACTACTAGCATTAGTATAAAAAAAAGTAGGGTTAAGTGTCATCGATAGTCGACAGCAAAAAAAAAAAAGACCCAGATAATTACTTTAATTCTTGTTTTTCATATGTATTCTCTACTTATTATTATAAAAGTAACCAAAATGTAAAAAAAAGGAACCTTTTTAGGTAGTTAAAGTTAGATTAGGTAACATAAATAATAATATAATAATTTTTCACAAAGCATGCACATAAACAGCTCAGAGTAGCTCATGGGTAATGTAATTTAATAGTGTAATATGAGCTCCACATTTTCCAAGTGAAGGCCTATGACTTCTCAAAGCCAAGATGTAGACAATAATGTCATACCACAACGGGAAACAATGATTGGCTAAACTACACTTGCATGTAAGTTACAAAGCTGAAATTAATACACTGTATTGCTCAAAACAATTTAAATTTATTTCTAGTGGGCTATGTATTATGTTCAGAAAAAAATTAGGAAATTTAGAAACACTAACGTTTTTTATTCTGAGCATACTGATGTCAGTCCCAAATCATAATATGCAATTTTTTAAATTTTAATGTATAAAATCAAATGAATAAAACTTTTTTATTAATTCTCTCAACACAGGCTTGGTCGAATTGACTGACCACGTGACCACTTTGTACTCGTTCAAAGTCGTTACAATTTTGTTACTTCTAACTTTTAATATATTTCGTGTATCTTCACAAAATTTGGCAGACTTTCAGTAAACATTACGAGTGTGTTACACACAAAGAAATCAGATTTTTAGTGAAGTATTTTTAGTAAACTGAAAAAAAGATTTGTCTGTAAACATATTGAGTCTTTTTTCTTGACTAGTCGGAGTGCAAAATGATTTTCATGTGAAGATTAAAAATACTTTTCCTCATCTCAAAAATCTCGAATTTCATTTGAGAAATCTCTA